AGAATGAAGACGGTCCCAGTTTTCGTATTCTGTTGGATTTTGATTTTTCAGTAGAGCCTCGAACTATTGATCTTGTGAATGCCCGATCGTTGTTTTTATTTACGATAAGTCGGTTGGAAGTCGTCTTCGAGCTTTAGACGTGTGGCTTAGTTCTATCTAGTGTTTTTTTAGTTATCTTCTCAGCACATTCTAGAAGTCCTATAGACTAGCCTCGCGCAAGATAAATAGGAGCCGATAGTCTAATTCCTTACCGACTAAGACCCTTGACGAGCGTTGGTATTGGCGACCAGCCGAAACCGGTCGGGTCACACGCCAACCGGACTCATGTCCGGATTCCACGCTTCATGTTTTATCTTTCGCTAATGTCGCGTTCGGGATTTTCCTTGGTTTACCTGGTTTAATCTTGCGTGCATATCCTTTTCTCCCCCTCTCTCTCTCTCTTCTCTCTCTCTCTCTTCTCTCTCTCTCTCTTCTCTCTCTCTCTCTCTCTCTTTGTTCTACTCCTTGTGTCAAGTTGACTATCTGTGTTTTTGTCCTGGACGTACGTGTGTTGAACTGACGGTCTACTGTGTAGTGATTCCAATAGCTCTTGTTAGAACCTTGGACTGATTGTTGTTATATCGGCAACATCTCCTGCCACGTGGCAGCTTGTGGTGGAACTGAAGACCCCCCTGCTCAAGGGGCTGCTCTATAGTGGTGAGGGCCTGCTCACACAACAGACCCTAGATCTGCAGATCTGCAGAACTGTTGTTAGGGGCTGATCAAGATCTCAGCCCCCTCTCTCCTGCAGCTGGCTTGCTGCAGCGAAGGCCAAGACCCTCCTAGTCTTGGTACACCTTGTGCCCTTGGAGACACCAAGGGTCAGGTATCACTTCTCCCCTCTCCCTACTAACCCACTCTCTATCCCTTTCTCTCTCTCCTCTTACTCATACCCCTCTCCCCACCCCACATTTTCTCCCACCACCCACCCTTTCTCTCTTTTCTTTATTTATTTTATTTTCTTTCCTCCTTTTCTCTTTGCTCCTTTATCCCTCTCCACCTTTCCCCATCCCTCCTCTCCCCCAACTACCACCACATCATCCCCCGACCTCCCACTTCCATCTTTTCCTCTCTCCCACCCATATCTCTCTCCTCTCCTTCACCTTTTCATCCCCCTTCCCCCCCAACTTCAAAATTTTCTGTTTTTTCCATGGCTACGCCGGACCCGGACCCGGACATTTCCGGACATGGAACCGGACCCGTGTCCGGTAGTTTCCAGACGTCCGGAATTCCGTACATTTCCGGACCACCGGACATGGGGGGATCCGGACGGTCCGGATGTCTGGACAGGTCCGAAAATGTCCGGACCATTAAAAAACATAAAAATAAAAAAAAATCTGAAAAAAAAGTACGTTATGCAGAATAACAATGCAAACCACTTTTGCCTCAGAGTCATGTCAGAATCCCTAACCACACTTGAGTTAAAAGTCAAAAACTATAAAAAGCTTAAAAAAAGACTTTAAAAACTAATAAAAGGTAATGAATTATTAATCATTAAAAAATTGGGGTTGTCTAATAAATTACTATAGAGAGAGAGCATGTCCGGACCCCCAAAAAAAACATAAACGGATCTGAAAACCCCCCAAAACAATTTTGGGGGCTTGGCTCTTCAATGGGGAAGGGGCCTGGAACAACTTTTTTTTTTTTTTTTTTTTCCTCGAAATTTTCCAGATCCGGACCTTCCAGACCGGACGTCTGGATTCCGGACTGAATCCAGTCCGTCCGGACGGCGGTCCGGACGTCCGGATTGTAGCCATGGTTTTTTCCTTTTTCTTCTTTCTATCTTCTCTTGATTTATATTTCCTCTCTTTTCAAAAAAAAATAAAAAAAATCGAATTATCTTACTCCCCACCCTCTTTTCTGATTTTCTAATTTATTTTCTTTTCTTTTCTTTATTCTGAAAATTTGATTTTCTTTACGGCAACCCTAAATCAGATTAGGTGTTAATCTTTCTTGCTTTCGGCACACGTTTTGAACCCGTGGGGGTAACGAAGTGCTGCCGAAATTTTCTGATTTTCCCTTACTTAGTCTTTTTCGGCACACTTCGATCCCATAGGGGTAACGAAATGCTGCCAAAATTTTTGAAAACTCAGATACTTCATTTCTCTCCACCTCCTCATGCACTTATTTACTTATTTATTTATTTATCTATTTATTTATTATTTCTTTATTTATTTTCTGAATTTTCTTTTTTGTGGCAGTTTGAAACCTATTGTGCTTATCTTGGTCTCTCCTTTCCCCTTGGCACATTCTTGACCCCATGGGGAGTAGGGAAATGTTGCCGAAAATCTCAAAACAAAATACCTTATTTTTTCTTTTCACATTTTGCTTACTTTTTCCCTTAATTATTTTTATTATTTATTTTCTTTTGTTTTTCTCTTGAAATCTAGCTGCTTATTTATTTTTCTCTCGCCTTCGCCCCCTATGCTTGCTATTTTATTTTCTTGATTAGGTCACCGGTACCCTACCCTAACCACTCAAACTCCGCTTAGGGTTCTCCTAGGGTTTTTCTAGGGTTTAGGGTTCTTCAACCCCCCCTCCCCCCCTACTTCCACTTCCTATTCGGGCACCCTGGACCCTAACCACCCCTCCCCCTTTGACGGCGCCCGCGCCAGCCTTGCGCACGCCGCCCGCCGCTTTCTACCACGGACCCCCCCCTACGCCCTCCGCTCACGCGGACCTCCTCTGGCCCACTCCAGTTCGGCCCGTCACCTCCCCATGGCCGACGGTGTGTCACACGCCGCCGACGCGGCGACGATCACGGCACCGGGCTCCACACCCGTGCCGGCGGGCCAGGGCCATCAGCCCCAGGGGGATCTGCACACCCTCCTCACCTCCCTCCTCGCGCCCATTCAGGCACAACTCGCAGTCCTCGCGCCCTTACAGTAGCAGGTGGCGACCCTTGCCGCTGGCATGCAGCAACTCCAGGACGCTGTGTGTCCTTCATCTCCTGGCTCCCAGTCCGGGTCCCCAGTCCTCCGACAGGGTGGCCACGGTGGAGCTTCCTCCTCCGCTGCCCCCGACCTGGCCATCTTGGTGACCGTCCACGCCCTAGCTCGACGGTCGGCACGAGTCAGGCCCTCCCTCAGTCTATGGGCGCACCCGCCCAGATTCCAGTCGCTATGGCCACGGGACCACAACCCGCTACCATGGTCTCAGCTTTTCGGGGTGCCCCGCTTCTCCCTCTCCTTCGCACGACTGCAACGCCACCTGGCTCTCCCCCCTCTCAGATGCCCCGCGCCGCTCGTGCGTCCACTTCCTCCACTCTTCCTCCTACCACTCCTCACTCGATCCACGTCCAACGCCTCGAGTACGAGCTTGCCCAAATTCGGGCCGACCTCGCCCTCTTACGCCTTCAACCACCCCCACCCTCACAGGTGGCCGCGCCTTCGGGCGCACCCCCTACCTCCTCTACCCTTCCTCCAATGCAGGCTCGCTTCCCGCGCCTTGCACCCTATCCAGCCCCATCCTACCTTCTTCCTACTCCCGCGGTTGCTGCGACCTCTTCTACCGCAGCTCCCTCGCAGCCTGCCGCAGTTGCCCCCGCCGCACAGTCAGCTGCGCCCCTTTCTCCAGGACCTGCGCCGACTTACTCAGTCGTGGCACATGCCTCTGCTCCTCGATCCCCTCGCCGCCAAAACGGTGGCGCACCACTCGTCCGCTTGTCGGACATTCCCCTTTATGACGATACAAGCATATGCGTGTCTCAGTGGCTGCAGTCTGCCACCCGCACGCTCCAGCTCATGGGCGCCAGACCCGACACGTGGGTGGGTCACCTCTCCACGCGCCTGCGTGGCGGTCCTTTCGAGGCTTGGGAGGATTTCTACGTGCACTCCCTCCGCGCGGGTCGGACCCCGACCTTCATGGATTTCCAGGTGTTCCTCGAGGATCGCTTCGGAGCCTGGCATGACGTGACTCACGCCTTCGAGCGTGTCGTCATTACACGCCGGTCCGGCTCTGGTGGCGCTGCCGGCCTGGATCGCCACATCCACGTCTTTCAGGACGCCCACCTCATTTGTGATGTGGCGTTCCTCCCCGAGGCTGCCCTTATCGATTGTTTCTTGGCCAGCCTCCCGCTTGAGTACCGCTCCGAGTTATGGCGGTACGAGTTCACATCGGCCCCTCAGGCTTACGAGGCCGCCAGGGGCCATCAGCAGATGCGGGCCCGTCTTCACCCCGCCTCCTCCTCCCAGCCCCAGAGTACTGGTTATGCCTCCTCCTCCTCTCACGATACTTCCCAGCGCCGTTCCCCTTTCCGCGGTCGCCCCTGCCGTTCCGGACAGCAGGACAGCCACTTCTCGCGCCGTTTCAGCGCACTCGAGTATGGTGAGTAGGACGCTGGTGCCCCGCTGTCGCCAGAGGGTGACCATAGCGATGACCTGGACGTCGGCGAGGCCGTCCACCACCACCTGAAGGACTCTACTCTTCCTATGGCTGAGCGCCTCCAGCTCATCCTCTCCACCCTTTCCCGGGCACACAGCCGCCCTGGTCACGCTGGTGCGTCGCCCCCTGAGGTCCCTCAGCAGGACCTCCCTCAGGGCTTTGTCCCTCCTCGCGGTGTCCTTTCCGCTGAGGAGCGCGCGGCTATTTTGGGCCGACGTGGGTGTTTGCGATGCCGTCAGGACGGCCATACCTCCTCGCGGTGCCCTTACACCACCGACCTTGATCGCCACTACGCTGACCTTTCCCGGTAGCGTCGTGCTCAGTCCCCCCCCGGCGCCTCGCATCCCGGCGGCGCCTCCTAGCCACGGTGCAGTGTACACCTGTGCCCTCCTCAATAGTCGGCTTTCCGACATCCCCGTCGCGGTTTGCCCCTCTCGCTACTGGAGTTGAGGTCTCGCAGGATCCGACAGAGTATACTCAGCCCTCTACCGCAGTATCGTATGCGCCTCCGCAGACCACCGTCTCCCCTCCCACCCCACCGCGACTACCGACGCTTCGAGCCATTCGCTCAACCCGTTGGAGTGAGCAGTTCGCTACTCGCGAGGACGTTGTGTCCTCTCTTTTGGACTTGAGCATGCTCCAGGCTCGTAAGGAGCGACTCACCCTCCATGTCGCTGCACTGCGTCGCCTTCTCACCATCCTCTCTGACCCCGATCGCACCCTCCCGATCATCCCCGTACGACTGGGGACCTCTACGAGGGTGTACTCAGCGCTGTGGGATTCCGGTTCTCAGGGCGACTTCGTTCACCCACGTGTGGTGAAAGAAGCTCGCTTACCCACGACAGGGTCTCCGACCCCCATCTCTGTCACCCTAGGGGATGACAAGACCCAGCGCTTCTTCGATCAGACGGTCACCGACCTCCTTTTCTTCCTCACTCTCGAGCCGACTGATCATTCCCCGGCGTCTCGTCGCCATTGCTCCTCTGCACATTTCGATGTGATGGAGACGGGGTACGACTTCATTCTCGGCACTCCGTGGTCTCGTCGGTTCCGCAGCACCAAGGCCGATTGGGCGACCAATACTCTCGTTCTCAAAACGAAGTGTGGACAGACGTATCGCGTACCTTTCATAGGTACCACTGCGACATCACCCCCCGATCCTCCTCCCCCGGAGCCTTCTGCGCCCATTCCATCTCCTTCTATTACTGTCACCTCGCCTCGACAGTTTGCTCACTTCATCCGACAGGACGACGTCACCTTCTTTATGGTGAACATGACGGATCTCTTACACTATGATCCACCCTGTCCCGACGCCAAGCTCATCCCTCTGGAGCCAGATCCTCCTTCGATCTCCATGGCTCTCATCTCTACTTCCCACCCTCCGCCGTCCGTCGAGTCCGCCCCGTCGTCGCGCGCCGACGCTGACGCTGAGGAACTCGCACGCTATACGGTTGACTTGGAGCCCGCAGTTCGTGACCTCATTAGAGAGTACCACGACGTTTTCCCACCGTCGTTCTCGTACGCTGGCATCCCACTGATGTGCGACGTCGAGCACTCCATCTTGCTTGTGCCTGACTATCGTGTTCACCACCAGACACCCTACAGACTCTCGATCCCCGAGGCCACCGAACTCAAGCGTCAGCTTGAGGAGCTCCCGAGATTGGGTTTCATTAAACCCAGCAACTCCCCGTGGGGTGCACCCGTCCTCTTTGCTCGCAAAGCGGATGGACTCTCCGTCTCTGCATCGACTATCGCGGCCTCAACCGCTACACGGTTAAGAACAGCTACCCCATGCCTCGTTCCGACAAGTTGTTCGACCACCTAGCAGGCAACCGCTTCCTCACAAAGATTGATCTTCGTAGCGGTTACCATCAGATCCGCGTCACTGCAGCCGACCAGCCGAAGACAACGTTCTGATCACGCTTCGGCCACTACGAGTTCACGGTGATGCCATTCGGCCTCACCAATGCACCCGCTACCTTTCAGAGGGCGATGAATGACATCTTCAGGCACATCTTGGAGCAGTATGTTCTCGTCTACCTCGACGATATCCTGGTCTACAATCGTACCCTTGAGGAGCACCTCAGACACCTCCGCGACGTCCTTGACCGCTTGCGCAGACATGGCTTCTACGCCAAGCTGAGCAAGTGCCGGTTTGCCCAACACAAAGTGGATTTCTTAGGACACTACGTGTCTGACCAGGGTCTTCATGTGGACGACGCGAAGATCACTGCTATCGCGGAGTTGCCCGTCGCCACATCCGCCAAGCAGCTTCGCAACTTCCTAGGCCTTACCAGCTACTATAGTAATTTCATCCAGGGATACGCTAGGTATTCCTACGTCCTTACCTCCACCCTCCTCCGGAAGAACCCACCCTGGGCTTGGACACCCCTCCACGAGGACGCCTTTCACGCCCTCAAGAAGGCGGTGACATGGGCACCGGTTCTTCACCTACTCGATTTTGACCGCCCTTTTATACTTAACACCAATGCGTCAAACTTTGCTGTTGGAGCAGTGCTTTCTCAAATCTTCCCCTCCTCTCCTGATTCCTCTCATCCTCGTATCCCTCGCTTCCCACCACCTACCCCTACCACTGCTTCCCGACTGACGCCTACTGGTCCAGCTACTGACGAGCCTTTTATTGACTATTCTCCTACCATCGCCGAGGACGGCACTGTCGAGTCTCGCTCAGGTGATTGTCCGATGGCCTTCTACTCCCGTCAGCTCTTGCCCGCCGAGATAAACTACACCGCTGATGAACATGAGGTTCTCGCAGTAGTTTATGGCGCTCGACACTGGCGTCACTACCTGCACGGGCACCATTCACGGTGCGTACGGACTACTCTGTTGTCCAGACTTTTCGGACAAAACCGAAGCTCAATCCTCGACAGGCTCGCTAGTGGCGCGACCTATCCGAGTTCAGTTTCACCATTGAGCACATCAAGGGTGAGACTAATCGGGTCGCAGATGCCTTATCCCGGCGCCCTGACCACGACCAGGAGTAGATTCAACTCTCTTCCATCTCGGTCACCACTGTCCACCACTCGGTGATCGACGAGTTTCAAACTCAGTACCACCACTGCCCCGACTATCGCGACATCCACTCGACCCTTCGGAGTGGCAAGACCATCCCGAACTACTCTCTCGGGGACAACGGTCTTGTGTACTGGCACGGCTCACAGGGCACCAGAGAGCCCCGTATTTGCGTTCCCTCCACAGGACAGCTACGTGTCTGAGCAGTAACAGAGTTCCATGACCAGGCAGCTACCGGTCATATGGGCTTCCACAAGACGTTGGCTCGTGTGAGCCGCCTGTACGTCTGGCCGAAGCACAAGGACTTTGTGAAGGACTACGTCGTAAAGTGTCCCACCTGTCAGGAGGTGAACAGTGCGAACCACTTGCCTTATGATTTGCTCCAGCCTCTTCCCATCCCTGAGGGTCGCTGGCAGTCCATCTCGATGGACTTTATCGGTCCTCTTCGTCCTCCGCCCCCCCGCGGTCATGATGCTATCCTGGTCATCGTCGACCATTTCACGAAGCGTGCACGCTTTGTTCCGTGCCGCTATGCCATCAGTGCACGTGAGGTCGCCGACATCGTGTTTAACCGAGTCGTGCGTGACCACGGCTTACCTCTGAGCATCATATTTGACTGTGACCCGCGCTTTACCAGCCGATTCTGGCGACGGCTCCATGAGGTTTACGGCACCCAGCTCCGCTTCTCCTCATCTTACCATTTTCAGACTGATGGTCAAACCGAGGTCACGAACAGGAGTCTCGGAGACATTCTTCGAAAGATTGTTCGTGACGACCAACAGTGGGATCTCCATCTTGCCCACGCGGAGATAGCCTACAACCACGCCGTCTCGCCAGCCACGGGGATGTCGCCTTACTATTGCGACCTCGGCTACCACCCTCGTGTTCCCGCAGACTTCCTTCGACCGTTGCAGATGCGCTCCTACACGAGTTGTCCCGCGCTGGATGATTGGGTTGCACACATGACGTAGTTAATGAAGACCGCACATGAGCACATAGCCGCTTCCCAGACTCGCATGGCAACACGTGCGAACCGATCGAGGATGGACCATTCATTCAAAGTCGGTGATGATGTGCTTATCGACGCCCACCACTTACAGCTCGAAGTGGACACGCTTCGCAAGTTTCGGCGTCGCTTCTTTGGCCCATGCCGCATCCTCCAGGTCGTCGGTTCTGATACGCCATCTAGCCCGATCAGCTTCCGTGTGAAGCTGCCCGACTACCTACGCCAGGCTCGTGTGCACGATGTCTACCACGTCTCGTTACTGCATCCTTACCGTAGACTGTCTGAGCGTTTTGCTGGACGACCATACGAGCGTCCTCCACCCATCATGGTGGATGACCACGAGGAGTTCCTCGTTTCAAACATCATTGGTCGCCGAGTCACCGACGACAACCCTCCCCACGTCGAGTATCTCGTACGTTGGAAGGGTTACCCTGATGAGGAGGCTACCTGGGAGCCCCTCAAGCACTTGTAGCACGCTCGCATGTTGGTGCGTGCCTAGGACCGTGCTCGTCGTGCTGGGAGCCCACTGACCCTCCTCCTTCTCCCCCGGCTGAGGATACCGCTGAAGTCGAGCCTGCTCCATCTGAGGCAGACCTTCAGCAGCAGTCAAATGCTTCTGAGCGTCCACAGGGACTCGTCGTCGTCCTGCTCGTCTGACTTACCTTCCCACGTCTTTGACTTCTCAGTACTCCATCCACTCCAGTTTTGCTACTTCAGCTCGTCGACGTTGCGGCTCTTCTTCGACGGCATTCCAGACTTCTCATCGTGGACATCATCGGCAGTTTCATGGACTTCATCATGATCAGCTCTGCCTACTTCAGACGCCATCACTCTCTTACCACTTTACCCTGTATAGTACCCTTATTGTGTGGCATGATGGTCTCCCTTTAGCCGGGTTCCTCTGAGTTGGGCTCTCCCTTGGTATACGCATAGGCATCGAGACCGTAGCGTTGCCCTGGCTTCCCATCTTACGGATTTAGCTCCGACTTCCCTCACTTAGGAGTCATTTGCATGATTTTCTTACCCATCACCTTTCTACCCTCTGCCGGCCCTCACGCCCTAGTTAGGCAGCTCCGCATGGTTCATCTAGGTGCGCCGAGTATACCAGGCTCCCTTGTTCCCTTGCATGGTCAACCCTCCATAACGGTCACCCCTTTAGTCGAGCATTATCTGCCCTGATGGTCTATTTGTTAGGGTCATTGGTTCTGTTCGCTCCCAGTTCCCTACCCCCCCCTGTCACTATGTGTGGATGCCCTTAGGAGTTATCGACCTCTAGGCTGCATTCGCCACCCTCAGAGACCATCCCACCCTTTGGTTTGTGACACACTTCTCCTGTGACATATGGTTGACTTGTTGTTGCTTATTGCTTTCAGACTGAGGCTACTGCCTCTGACATTTCGACAATTTAATTGTTCTGCTTTTGCTGTTCTTAGGACTTATACACAAGTCAGTTGTTCCCAGACAGAGGCTACTGCCTCCAACATTCTAGGATCTAGTTATCACTACTTTCTGCTTTCCTAGAACATGTATGCTAGTTAGTTGCCTCTGCTTTCACTTAGGTTGTTAGCTGTGACATTGCTGTTTTGTGACATTTTCTATCCTAGGCAGCGTTGTCGAGCGGGGAACCCCGGGGGCAAAGCCGGTGTTAGGCTGCGGACACCGGACCCCCGCCGCGGGGTTCATCCAACCCCGCCACCGCCGGACGACCCCCGCCGCCGCCCAGCCCCGGGTACCC